GCAATCCAACAGGAAAACACACCAAGAAACCAGAAAGACCATGAAACAAGCCGCTCCTGGTTTGTTCTTCCCACGGGTGTCTGTGAGGTTTGGGCTGCCCCTTGCAGACTCGTAGGGCTGAGCCTCTCGGTCCGCAACATTCCACAACCTACTGGTATGCAAGTCGTGCTGTGAGGGGGCTTGCGTGTCTTTCCCGTACAATGGCTCATGGACACTTTTGTTCCACGGCGAAGGCGGCAAAACGAAAGACCTTCTTAGAAACTTGTCTCCTGCCTTATGAACCCGAAATTCCTGAGTCTTAGTCGATCTGCGAGCATCAGTGCCGTGAAGGTATGCTAAAGGTCTAAGTTGCTTGGTTGCGTGAAAAGGTTGGTTCACTTTCAGCAAGACGTGCTTGACCTGCTTTTGTTCCTTGACCTAGAGAAACCCTTGGATAACCCAGACTTTACAATCATCCTTAAATTAACACAGTGAGACCTGCAGAGAATTCTGGGAGACAGCATCGTTCAGCACAGAGTACAGTGTGCTACCCATGAGAATGGAGATACTCCACGCGTGCACCACCGTGTTAGAGGACACAGCCCTGCTTCCAAAGGCACTGCTCGTAACTTGGTTGAAGCAATACACTTTAGCAACCCCGGAAACGAGCCCGCGTCTTGCAAGGCCAACTACGGAACAACTAAAATTGAAACAGTTCCATCTTTCAATACCAACCCCATGACATTATGGATGCCTGATGCCTGACGCTCACCCGAAAGATCAAGGCACAATCAAGTTTAATGACCCGGATGTCTTCGGGAGGTCGGACAGTGTCGTGCTTGGCACTCGACAATTTGCAGCTGGGACAACAGCAGGCCACACTCCAGAGGCCTCGGGCCGACCTCATTGCGTAAAGCCTACACAGGGGCACGGCAGCAAAGCCGCCCCTACATGTGGGCAGATGTAGAAGTTGTCGTGCCAGCACGCCCTCTGCAACAGCTTAAACACATCGTGATGGTTAAGAGGCTCAATGTCACAGTCAGCCCTAAGATGCTGAATTGACTGGCCATGCTTGAGGGTGCCCTGGCCAGACTGACATTCGATGTCAAACTCGGAGTGATGATTGTGCATTTCTTGCATATGCATAGCCAGCATCTTCTGAGGGCAACACTGAAAGGACCTTTTCTCATCATGAGTCACTTTACGGGGACCAACTAAACCTCTTTTACGCCACCTGTGCCCAGCAGACCGAGGGCTCCGACGCAGTCCCCTGCACTGCTTTTCAGTCGGCGCTGCTGCTTGACCACTGCTCAGACACCTCCTGTCCCGGCTTGGCAGCATGGTGTTTGTGAATGCTGTTGTATTTGCGCCTGCAAGTGCTCTGATCTTGCAGGCAAATGCATGGCAAGCGTGTGTTGCTTCTTTCAGCCAGCGCTGGAAACGGTTGTATGTAGACATGTGACTTCAACTCGCGGTGAGTAAGCCATGCCAGCCGAGGTATGGGTATTCAGGAATGAAAGATTGCATGTAAACTCTTGTACCCGTGGCAAGCACAAGACACCTTGAAGAAGCAGACACTGCAAATTGTCAAGAGTTCAGAGATACAGGTTGCAGAGAAAAGCCGCATTTGAGCAAAAGCCCCGCACCTGGAGGGTGGACATGCCACAACGCATGTACGCAGACCAGACCTGAGCTCCGTCGACCAGCCGCCCCAGACGCGAAGCAAAGAGCCGAAACCAGAAGCCAAGCAAGACCCAACACGAACGAACGGAACGAAGACAGCGAATGCCCGATGGAGCATACATCAGTCTGCGTCATCCAAGCGCAGAGTCCCTGGTCTAAGATGGTGTAAGCAGACGGCAGAAACAGCGAGCTTCCGGTTCGGACAGCGGCCACTTAGCACCAGCTGCAGCTGGTAGGCATCACAACACACGCGCGTGCATTCTCAAGCTAGACGGCGACGCTGAGCGCAGGGTGCGCTAGGTCTTGGCCGCCATCGCACGCTTCTGCAACCAGAGGTTGCAGTCGGTACTCAATCCACCAAGAAAGGCCAATTTCGGGTTCCTCCTATCATCATTCAGGCCTTTTGAACATGACATATCCTTTTGACTTAGGATCGAAGCGGGCGGGTCCGGTCCGTCTGCTCTCCGTTAGTGCGTTTCTTGATCAGTAAGCCGCTTCAAACCACGTTGGAGCGGAATAAGCAATTCGTTGATCGCTGTGCCTTAGGTTGCTGATCGGTGATCAGGGAGCGCTCTGGTGAACAGGTGGGAAAACGGATGGACTTGGGATCCTCCCCAAAAACCGTGTTTGCCCTAAATGGCTGGCTAGCTGTGTGGGGGGAGTATACCAGCCCTCACTGGGCAACCTTTGCGAGCCCTTCAGAAGGGTAGCCGTTGGTGTTGCGAAGGGCCTGTTTCTTTAGCCTTGCTGGAAGCAATCGGTGCAAACCTGACAATGACTCATGAAGCCTGACAGCGCCTCACTAGCCACCCGATGTAACTCAATCGCAACTTTGAGATGGATTAAGCAGGTGTTTTGGACAGTTTTACTAATGCTACACGTGGCTGTATCGGCAGCTGTCGAAAAATGTCGTGTGACACCTCCAATCTGTGGGGAGTTTTCCTGCCGACGTTCGAAGGTGCAAATAGTTGTCGTAGCTTGACAGAAGCTGCTCGATGCCTGCCTTTTGGTGTGTCCTTGTGCGTTGGGGGCATCGGGCTCGCATATGGTTGTGATGCACTTTTCAGTGACGGCTTCTCTTCGTGAGAGCTTCACTCCACGAACACTTCTACGCAGCTGCATTTGGTTCGTCCTAGATGCGTCGTGAGCTAGAGGGGGCAGATGAGAGTGATGGGGCGGGCCGTGGTATGGCGGTCAGGATTGCCAGATGTCTCAGAACTGTCTGGTCCAGCGTTCATGCCCCCTTGGAGCCACAGAAAGCCTTTGTTGCCGGCTGTTTGACAGGTTGCTACACAGCGGGAGACCATTGTGGCCCACCCGGTAAACAGGTCGAAGACGGATTTACTGATGTTTGCGTCGTGCTCAGGCTCAGAGTGAGCGCGAACGCGCGGAGTTGCGCGCCGACGTGGAGAGGCCCTGCGAGATTCAAACGATCACCCGGCAGCAGCGCTGCTGCCACAGCGAAGAAGCAACACATGACAGCGCAGGCTTCAACAAAAAGTGCAGTCGCTGACAGGCCTGCATGCCTTCGGTTAGAGTTAGAGAGTACACGGTTACACGTTTGCAGGTAGGCTTCGCTTGTGAGTGCCGCGGTTGTTGTGAGCGGGTTTGGATCTCACAGCAAACTGAAGGTCCCTGTGTGAAGTAAAGGCGAAGCAGTCGACAGGCGAGCGTGATCGTCTTCTGCGTGGTGGCGCTGCAGAGGCTGTATACGAAGCTGGTAAACCCCTGTCAACGAGTTCACTCAACGTCCCGTATGCACAGGATGCCGAAGCCAAGCACCGTGAACTCCAGGCCAACTGCTAGTTTTTGAGACTTTGATGGGGTCTGTTGTTGTTGTGGACGGCAAAGCAGGCTCGACTTGAAACTCTGAAACACCAGAAGCTTGAAATAGAATCCGGCCGTAGCCTGAGGAGATAATCTACCTTGGGCGCATCGCTCTGCTCGTCGCTTCGAGGCATCTGCCAGCAGGAGGAGGAGTTGGAGGCGGTGCGCAGAGCTGCTGCTGCTGCGGCTGATGCAGCCAATGACCCTTGGCCCAAAAGAGGAAGGGCGGAAGCGAGCCCCCTAAACTCTAAACCTTCTATACTTCAGACTTCAGGCGGCAGCCGCCGAGCTGCAGGAGGAGGCCTGTTCCTGTTCTCTGAGAGTCTCGCAGAAAAAATCCTTGCTTCTTCTCCTTGTTCTCATCCTTGTTTGCGCTTCAGGAAGCGCGGCTGCAGCTTCAGCAGCAATCAGTCGCGACTGCAGAGGAGACATGATCATGAGCTTTCAATTCGGATCTAGGGGAAGTCTGCGGTCTGTTTGTCTAGGCAGCTGCTGCCACTGCAGAGAAGCGCACCTGCCTCAGCAGTCAGCATTGGACGTCGGGTTGCTTTTGCTTCCTCAGGTCTACTTCACATGGTTTCGGTGGAGGTACGAGTAGGGACGCACGTCATTACTTGGTTTGATCAACTAAAGCGCGACGCGAGAGCCACCGCTCTATCCTGACGTTGAGCAGATTCGCTACACTGGGCTTGCGAAATCTTCCGTCAAGCGGTGTGCTTAAGCACTCGCAGGACGTGCAGATCCGCGAGAGGGAAGCACGGTCGTGCCTGCCTCGTCATCGAGCAAGGGCTAATATCCAGAGAGCTTGTGTGCAAGCTTGCCGGGAGTTGACGAAAATGAAAGCTTGGCCAAGAAAAGGCTGCTGTTGGCAGCGAAAGCAGCATATCTCATGTCGTTTAGCGGCCAATTCCGCATGAGTGCAGCCTGGGCAACTTGCAAAGCTCCAGTCATATGATTCCAAGCAGCATGGAGGTATCGAGAATCCTTGGCGTTGGCATCTCATAGTTCCTTCCTGGCTTTTGCGACATCATCGTCTAGTCGTTCTGATAATTGGGCTTGAGGTCTGTGGACAAGGAGGCACGACAGTTGCGACTTGCTCTTGCAGATGCAGCCTGGCTCTATACTTCTACAGTACAACTTCGGGCGCCCGTGACATCGCATCGAGGCTCTTTCAAGCGGAACTGATTTGAGCATGGCCAAACGCGAGCTGGAGGCATGCTGACAATAAGGTTTCGTCAGTGTTCGTCTGATGTGGCTGGCTTTGCCCGAGCAGGTTTTACGGGATGCGCCTTTTCCCTGGCACACGGCTGCTTATCCTTAGGAGAGAGCAATGTAGAGCAAATGCTGTTCTAAACTGAGGCAAGAAGCAGCATCTCAAAGAGTCCAGGCCGGAAATGCCGGTTGCGTCGAAAGGTAGTCAAGCATTCTACTCATGTCCCATGTACTGCCGACCCGGTCGACCCCATACATGTGGAGGTTGATGTGCGCGTATGCGGACGCGTATTGTATGAATGTATGCATGTCTTTCTGTCCGTCTGTCCGTCTATCTGTCTGCCTGCCTGCCTTCATGTGGCCGAACACCTGTGCGCTGCACTTTTGCATTCGGCAATTGGACGCGATCAGATTCTTTCCGCGACGGCGTGAAACGTTGCAACGTGAGCTCGCAAAATGAGAAGATCAGAGGCGGGTTTAGCCGTTTAGCCAGTGCCAGGACCTGGAGTCGGTGAATGCTCAGCTGGAGAAGCGAATCGCCTGGGACTCGTCTTCGCTTTGAGTGTCTCGCCCATCGGGCCGCAGTCCGTCTGCACGGAGGACCAAGTTCAGGCCGATATCGCGGCTCTGCGCAAGGTGAGGCCGCTTTTGCGATCTGCAGATCGTGAAACACCTGGTTGGCAGGGAACCGTTGATCTTCGAAGTGAGGAAGATCTCATGCGGGAGGCAAAGGATGGCAAAGGGCATGATGTAGAATGCATGGAGCAAATTGAACAAGCGAGACTGACAGGTCATTGTCACACAAAGTGAGCAGCTTCTGCGCAAGGCCCGGTCCGGACCCTGATCAGCTCCCGAGTGAGTTGGCAGCCTTGGCCTGGCAGGTGGAAGATCTCACGGCTGAAGAGAAGCTGGCCGCCGAAGATCGGAGGCCCGCTGCTGGAGTCGCCTGAGCCGACAGTCAGAACAAGACTAGTCAGGCATTTGCTGGAAAGGGCAGCTCGCCTGGCATCTGAGGCCACGATGTTGCGGTAGTGCCGTGGGAGTTTGACACAGAGAGGTCCAGTCAACGCTCAAAGCTGCGACTGTTCTGCAGGTTGAAAGAGCTGAGGCTCGTATTGCGCAGCAGTCAGAGCTCGAGGACGGAGGGGTGAAGGCAAGTGCCAGAGCTCGCTTGGACATTGCACATTGCTAGTTTTAGCTTTCACAGCTCGTGTGTGTTCTTCTGTTCTCGGTTCTCGACCCGATCGGAATTTCCAGTATTACGGAAGCGCGCGGTGGCCGGCGGCCCCGCAGACACAGGCCGACACAGGCACAGGCACACGAGGCAGCGGGTGCTGGGTCTTCACGTACGTAACTAATTAGCTTTCTTGGTTCTCACAGTCGAAGGCAGAAGTGGCAGAGATCCGACAGACCATACATGACTGCGGTTTGCAGGAGCAGTGTGCACAACTCGACGCTGCCCAGCAGACGCTGAGCAACTCTGACTGCAGCTTCGCCCATGAGTGCTGTTCTTCGGTTCAGTTTTGAGCCAAGGCGCAGAAGTCGAGCGGCTTCGTCGCACCAACGACGCCTTGTGCCAGCAGGTTGGGTGCGGCTGGGGATGTCATATGAATCTTGCATCTCCTTGCATGAGATGCAGGTGTTGGGTTCGGACGGCGAGGCCTGAGCCAAGCGATTCTCTGCGTCTGCATCCTTCGTCCTTCTTGCCCTTGCAAGGGCCCCTTTGCGGGCGCTCTGCAAGAGGCCATGGGCTAGAATCGGAGGTTCCTCCGCGAGTCTGACTCTGCGGAGGTGTCCTTGCTGGACGGAGAGGAGGACCAGGCGATGCGTGACGAAATCGGCCGGTTGGCCAGTCCCTCAGATGGAATCTGCAATTCAATCGATCAACCAACTTTCGAGTGCAAAAGGTCCGGGGGCAGCTCCTTATCACAAGCCAATCTGGCAGTGTGAAGGCATCCAAGGGGGGCCAATGTTTGCAAGGGCATCCTTCCACAGATCCGGAGAGCGTGTTGCTTTGTTTGCCAGGGGGATGCAGCTGCACTTGCCTTGAGACTTCAGCAGCTTCTGGCGGAGCGCGAGGAGGCACCGCAAACTCCTGAATCGCAAGAAAAGGCTATCAAATCGCAATTGTCTTCAGGTTTTATCAACTGACAGATTGGCCAGAAAAACGTACAGTGCAGACTATGACCAATTGCTTTCATTGGAGGAGCTGGTAGCATATAGCTGCAGGATGTTTGCAGCATCAGCAGGGAAAGCTTGTTGCCGTCCTGAACTGACTACACCGGCTGCATGTGCTGGAAACACTACGGGCCCCACAGCTGAAAAGAACCCAGTCGACAGCACGAAGTTATCCGACGTGCCAAGGCCTTCTGGGTAGAACGACAGCGCCTCTCAGACCACATCGCTTCCCTCGAGCGCGCTCAGAACGGGCGCAAGGGCCTCGAAGTCGGACGGGTCCTTCTCATACTTGTGTGTGTGGCATATAGATTTTGAACAGCAGGGGCACCAGGGGCACTTTACTGGCCTGGTACAACGAAGCTCCAGTCAAGTTGCCGGGATATGAGGTCTGATTAACCCACGTACCTGCATAGTACAGAGAGAAGCCGATTTCGAGCAGAATATCAAAGATCTGTAACTCTAGCACAAATGACAAACAGCATCCATCTAAGATCATCTAAGTAAGGATGACTGGTTTACGATTGTGTGTCTGTGCCGTGTTTTATAACTGTTTGTCCGTTTGTCGTTTTGTTGCGCAGCAGCTGGTTGCCGGCACGATTCGCAATGATTTATGATCATGTTTCCAGAAGCAGGTACAAGCAATCTTTTGCGGCAGTACGATGCAGCTGTGCGTGCTTCGGGAGGCAGTGCGCCGCGCGCTCAGACGTGTCAGATGATGTTGGGACACGGCTGATCGGAGATCGGTGACAGCACGTGCCCATAGCCGCTGATCCTCACAGAGGAGGTTGAGCACCCTGGCACGACCGATGTGACTCGGGCACTTGCTAGGATCTGTGAGGCCATCCAGCGAAGACTTTTGGATGGGCGGATGAGGCGTTGGCCATTGGACAGATGATGCGCGCAGCCATGCTCCTTTATCTCCTTTGTTCATTCGCAACAGCTGGAGCGGTTGCGGCTCCCACATGGATGGGTGATAGCTTCGATCAACTGAAGGGTAAGTCGCTGCTAAAGATCACTCTGCCGGGATCGCACAACAGCGGCAACTATGTTGGTGGCCTGCATGCTAACCCGCTGCTCACAAGATCTTAGAAACGATGGGATCAATAGTTTGGTTCTCCTAGATTCTCAGGCGAAAGGTGTGACTGAGCTCGATAGATGCCCCTGTGCGCCAGGCTATGCCAGAGTGACTACCGCTATGAGGAGTACCTTGCCTCTCCCAGCTCACAGGCGTTGCTTGCCAGAGGGCAGCATGTCTTCAGCCAGGCCGAGTTTGATCGCAGAGACTCGTCACTGTCCAAATGGTGTGCCGATGAGTCACAATGCGTCGTTCATGCGCTGCTTTCCCACAGCTTCAGGCAAGGCAACGATAAGAGCTAAGAGCTGGACATGTAACTGTAACACCGCAAGTACAGGTACACTTTGGCTTCATCCTCCAATGTGGTCAGCCGCGGTAGAAGACTATTCATCGCTTCGGTTGTTCATGCTCCGATGTCGGAAGCAATATTATGGATACGCCAAGCGGGCACGAGATCAGTGACTTCAGCACATACCACACGTGCAAACAGACTGAACTTAGTCAGTTTAGTTTAGCCAAATCAGGCCGAAACGAATGTCGCACCACAGCATGCCCATATCGGGATCTGCACAAGAATGCGCGGCTTGTGATCAGGAATGATTCCGTGGAACATCAACCATTTCCTGCCGATCAAGGCCCAGCTTCTGGAAGGAGTCCGGTACTTGCACCTGAAGATTTGCAACTTTGGAAAGCCCGGCAACCTGTCGTGGATGATTTATGCCCTGGCCTCCGTCGACCATTTGTTTTTAAGTTGCGGTTGGAGGGTCTTAGCTGGCCTATCCCCCTACGACATCTTCCTACCGCACACGTAGGACAATCACTGCAAGGGGTACGATCACTCAGCAGCTGCAGTTTTTCCCAGGGTCGCCCGACTAAAACGTGATTCTGCGGCATCCGTTTGTATCCCAAACTCGAGGATGATGTAATTCCCTGAGTAGCCTGAGCACTTGTACGTGGCAAGTTTTGGTCGAATAGCCATTGGGTCTGAGTTTCCGGAGACTGACAGCGAAGTGGCTGTCTCACTGCCTGCATCGGTGCTGGAAGCCATTAAAGATCCTTAAGGCTTAAGCCTCAAGGCTTTCATCAGTTCGGTTGGTGATTCTGGCAGGTCTTTTTTTCTTTTCTCGCCCGAGACCGCCGTGCAATTGACAGTGTTTACACATGTAGCAACATGTGCTTCTCCAGTCTAGTCCGGAACAATCACTGTTGCTGCCTTATGTTGAGATTGTAAACAAAAATGTTGGGTGCGACTTTGACCGTGTAGCCCCATTGCACCAACTTGACCAGCAAGTACAAAAAACGCTGTCCGATGCGATGTGACCTCAAAACGTGTTTGCCACTTTGAAGGTGACCTTATGGACTTGGCAGCGGTCCGATTCCAGCATCGCGGATACACCACCCATGAGACGGCGCCCAGACGGCAAATTCCAGCCACGCCGGTTGCCCTGGGCTGTTCTCGCAACAAGGTCCTGTCGACGTTGCACGACATTCGGCACTTTCTGCACGAGCATCGCAAGGAGGTTGTCGCTTGACGGCAACACTCTTCTAATGCTGAGCCAACAACTGCAGATTCTACTTGCTGACCACCTGCGAATTCCAGCTTATGAGCAGATCAAGCCCGACAGACTGCAGCTTGAGAGGTTCTCTTGGCTTTCAACAACTTGCACAACAATGCGTCCAAAGTCTTCGACAAAGCTGACGTGAATGCCCTTGTCGCAGCCGTGGAGTGGGAGCTAGGTGCGCTCGCAGGAAAACACCCCAAGCTCACCCAAGCTCCCTTGATTCCGTACAGGTGTTCTGTAAGTATGTCGAAAGGTGTAACGCCTTAGTGGTTGCTTGTCATCAGTGCGGTTGCCTGTTATCACCCACGGGGTCGCAAGCGCTCCCGCAGTGGCGCACTTGAATCGAAGCCGCTTGCACCTTTTCCCTACTCCCGCGCAACAAGTCGAGATAGCCCTGAAACTGAAGGGGGCACGATACGAACCTGAGAGCCCGAATTGCCGAAGCATGTTTTTGCTACAGCCCGCTGGGCTGGCACGAGTGTACAACACCTCTGAGAGACTGTTGATCCCTTTCAGGAGAAATCATGATCAGCAGACGTGACCTTTTCAACAAAACCCTTGGCGAGCTCGTGGATTTGAACAAGCGGATCGCTGTGCCTGTGCAGAAGGCAGATTGCGGTTCGTTTTTTTAGCATATCCTGGCAGTCATGACAATCTTCGCAGTTTGTGGATCATGCTGAGGTATTTGTCAAAGGCGCTCGGCACGACTCTCATGCAATCAGCGAGCTGGACTTGGCCGAGAACTGGGCACCCGCTATGGCCAGCGGCAATCTGACTCTTGCAAAGGACTGGTTGCTGAGGGATCTGAAATCTGAAGCCACGCAGCATTCCAGGTACTACGTTATGCAGGCCAATCCCAACAATGCAGAAGCACTGATGTACGAAGCTATGAATTCCGGCCAGGGGCCACAATCAAACTTGAGATTCTTGGAACCCTTCCTCCTTGACTTGCAAAGCCTTGTGATTGAAGCGGTGCGACGAGAACCTCAGATTCAGATCAACGTGATCGACACTGACTTCCTTTCCATCAGCAGGCCTTACCAGACGAGCATGCAGCTGATGGGTATCTCAGCGGATTACGACGAGAGCTCCGATTCGGTGGGTGTGTGGCTTACTCGCTTGGGCGTAGCTGCATTCTGTGCTGTGCTTTCTGTGTGGGCTTATGGTAGATGCCATAACCCAACCGGCTACCAGCGTCATACTTCCTGATCAAGTTCCATACCGGAGTATCCACCTGTGCCAACACGGAGCTGGTGATTCGTGTTTTGCAGCGTATTGGACCGTGACCGTCTCTGCGGACTGATGCCGGAGGCGCCAGGCAAGCTGATCGAGCTGCAGGCGTACACGGAATGAGTGCTCAACCTGTCCGCCAGAACACGAAAGCATCGAGCCTCCGCTCGCGAACATATCGGCCCTGCTTGAGAAAAACGTCTTTGAACCTCGGAGCATCCTGCACTCTGCAACTTTGGTTTAAGCAGCTATGGACAATAGATTTTGCAGTGTCCCACTGGCTGCATCATCCACGTCAGCATGGGTTTGGTCAGTGTTTTCTCCTCTGAGCCAGCTCGATCTTGACAAAGTGAGGCCGAAAGCACCCGGCCTGAGTGGCGCACCGGCTGCTGCAGCAGCTGCAGAAGTTTGACTGCACTTATGAATCAGCTGCACGGGTGGCTTCCGAATTTGCTAATGCCCCAGCACCTGAGGTCACAGGCGTTGCTCGACGTCTGCGAGAGACAATCGGCGCTTGATTGTACAGAACAGTTTCAAGTGACGTTCGTCGGTTCGGTCAATGTGCAATCGCAGATCGCTGCAAGTCCCTGAGCCTGCGCAATCATAGCACCTAGTTGAAGCTAGGCCCTTGCTTCTCGGATGCAGGATGGAAGGTTTTGGGGCTTAGGGCTAGTGGGCTTTTCCAGGCGAGCAGTCGCATGAACGAAAAGGCAGCTGTCCAGAGCGGTCCCGGGTGGGATGCCCTTGTCGTTAGACTCTTGATTCTTGATCCACTTTCACGCTAGAGTCTAAGCCTAAGCCGAAGCCTTTCGACCAGCATTCGAGTTGGGCCGAGATCGATTTCATTTTTTCGGCTCTCTGGCGACTGCCGCTCAGTGACGCAACACAGTTTGTAGAGCTGATCCGCTCGTGGAGGCGCAGCAAGAAGCATTAGGGATGGCAAAGTGTAGGCTAGGCTAGGCGGCCAGGTGGCTTTGTGGCCAGGCTAAAGAATTGATTTTGAATTCTGGTGGCAGGAAGTCACATGGCTACAGTGCCTGCTCCGGCCTCAGGGAGGGAGGATTTCCGCGGAGGAAAGATCCCATCATCCTTTCGAGGCCACTGCCTTCGTAGCCGCCCGTGGCGGGGCAGAACGTCTCGCGGGCCACCCAACCATGCTGTCGAGTTTGGAGAGGCATTCTCCGGTTTTCGTTGTCCCAAAGTTACGCTTCTCAATTGTCATGCAACGGCCTACCATTTGCATCATGGCATATGTTCTGAGGCGGCTCCAAGTGTTGAGCATGCACCTCGTTCTGCCGGCTACCTAGTAGTCGCAGATCTCGGCGGAAGGTTCAAGCTTTCTTGTCTGAACAAGTGCAGGTGTCAACCAGACCTGGTGTTCAGAGCCAGGTGCCTTCAGACTTTGAGTGACAATTTTCCTAGTTGAATCGCAGCAACATGCCCGAGCAGGCTGCCACTGCAGCCATTGCCGGATCTGCCTTTGCTATCATGACGAGCGCGGGTCCTGGCCGTTGGCAGTCGCTACAGTGACCGTTGTGTGCCATCAGAGACGGTGAAGACAGCAAGCATCTTGACAAGGCGGCAGAAAAAAGCCTGGACCTGCGCGTAAGGCACTTCAATCCCACATGCCACACAACATGCAAGGTTGACTGCCAATCTGTTCACTCAACCATGAACTGCATCCTTGCAGGGTCTGCGAGTAGTTGCAGCACGAAAAGCTGTTCCTCCAGGCCAGACGTAGACTGAGTAGAGCGGCCAGTCTGCAGCAGAGCTGTCACTGACTCCAGGCCATAAGTCGGCTGCAGGTTTTCAACACAAACTACAGGTGCCCTCATAGGCGACCACGAATCCGCTCTGATCATTACCACCTGGTTTTACGTCAGCTTGAAGTTAGCGCAGCACCTGCCCCTTAACACATCATTGACCAGCACACACGATTCTGCTCCTACGGAAAGCAGCTTGCCACCTGTTCGGATGCAGCAGTACCTCATGGTGGTCTTGAACTGGAAACTTGGGAGTAGACCCTTCCCAAAACTGACCGTGTGCAGGATTTGCTCCTTCGCCTCCAGGCATGTTAGATTTTAAATACAATGGCTCGAGAAAATAAATGCAGCTGGCCTGGTGGAAGTGCGGGCCACCAGGGATGGGATTGGGAGATATCAGGAGTAGATGATGTTTTGTTTACGGGTATATGGATCTCGGGTGATGGCCCACAGCATGTGGCGAAGAAAGCAGCAGCAAAAAGCTCGTGTTCGCGCTTACCCCTTGACAAGTTTGTTGTTGACGATCATCTTGGACTCCTGGAGCAGCATCGGACACAAGGGTGAAACGGCATCAAGTTGCATTTAGGCAATGACGGGTCAAAGGAGGCTATCGAATTGTTCCGAAAGACAACCGCCGTTGCATGTTGCAGGTCCCGCTATGACTGTCCACTCTCGAAGTTGCAAGGTATTCCAGGCGCTCCAGCAACAAATTCGATGGGACCGATGTTCGGTGAGTGGAGCGTATTTTGGCATGAAGGGGAACACTACGGCCGAGGACGTGTGGAAGGAAAGAAGTGATTAAAGGATTGAACTCTGGGCGCCACCATGCTGATCCAATGATTTGGGGGGCTTGCGTAGCCTTGAAAGGCTCCGGGAGGAACCCACGCTGCAAGGCAAGCCCGGCGCTTCCCAGTTCCTTGCGACCACCTATCACGGCGAGAAAGCTGAGGATCTCGAGATAACCCAAGTCTGCTTTGCAGGTCGCTTGGCCTTCATTCGCTTAACTTTCGAGGAGCCAGTGCATCTCCCAAGAAAGGCTCTCGTTCACGCGGTCAGGACCTCCGAGGCAAAAGCTTTGTCATCTCAAGTGTAAGCTTTCTCGCCCGGGTTCCTCCCGTTTCAGAATACATCTTTGCATTCCACAGCTGTGCAGCAAAGATGAATGTGTCTTGGACATTCGGTTCGGTCACTTATGCTGGATCAGTGTGATGCTTCGCTGCGTGGTTGCTTCAGCAACCTGCTCTCGCCGTTATGTCAATCTTTCTGCTGTTGATAACATGGAGCCGACAGGTGTCTACTGCGAGGCGTTGGAGAAGTGTGAACGGCGCAAAACTCGCACTGCAAGAGACTAAGCCGTCTTTTCGCAGCACTGCCCAACCCCGAATGCAATCAAGCCTTCGTGGTCGCCCAAGGTTTACGTCGGCGAGGTGCCAGTCGGCTCCGAGCACCCCATTGCAACTCAGACGATGCGAGCGCCTAAGAGATGAAGAGCCGTCCGCTGATGTCCGCTGGCACTTCGTAATTCGGCTCAGGACGACAACGCTGACAACTGATGTCGAGGCGACAGTCGCCCAGGTCAGACCTCTGCACGGCTTGCTCGCCTCGCAGAGCTGGGGTGAGTTGGGATTATCAGGTCAAGAAGTGTGCGGATATGGGCATTGATATTGCCCGGCCCTCACGCCGCCTCATGTCGCACGCCGTACTCAAGCTGCAAAGCCAGGTGCGATTGACAGTGCAGGGCATGCGACGGGCTCGGCTCGGCCGCTGAGTCTGAGCTTTTCAATCGAAGAGCGTTCGAATTGTGGAGGAAGGAAGCCAAAGCTTGCGAGCACATCAAGAAGCGTCTCCTCGAAGATGGCCACACGTACACGCTTCGAAATAGTTTCTGGAATTCATGCAGCACCGTCAAGCCAGGATACAAGACCCCTCTCGTCGCTGACATCCACTTCACGCCCAAGGTTGCTCTAGTTTGTGCCGACTTTGTGGACAAGGTCCGACAAAGCAGAAGATGCAAACACGATTCTCTTGTCATGGTAAACCACAAGGTTCGAGTGAATCCTGGCAATTTTGCAGATGGTTGCAGCCGCAGTTTCGAATCTCATGAATAGCACCACAAGAGTGTTTTCTGTTTTTGTGTGTGCTTTGACGAAGCATTTAGGTCGCAAGTCCTTTGACACCATCGATGAGCTGACAGAGGAGGACATCAAAAAAAAAGCGAATACGAATCCCATTCTCTCCGAACTGGAAACGCCCTCCTCCTCCTCGTCAAGCTGTCTGTCAAGCTGTCGAGAGCAGGAAGCCGGCAGTAAAGACACGGCTGCAGGCTGCAGCCGAACTGCAAATGAACTCTGCATATTAGGTAGATGGTAGGCAGTGGCGTTTTAAAGGGATTGCAAGGGTCCGGCCAGGCAGAGTGACAAGTTCTGACTGATGCTCCCCTAGTTTCCTTTGCAGAAGAGCGTTCGCCGGAATTGGTGTTTGTCAGATCATGGAGGTGTTTGATGGTGATGGGATACTCCCGCCCACTGCTCCGCAGCACACCATTTCGTTTCTTTTAGCAGGACGTGCAGGAAGCCAAAGATGCAATTGAGGAGGCCTTGACTCCCTTGGCCTGGCTCTGAGCTTCTGTGCAATGCAAAGAGCGGGTGCTTCTCGTGGGGGGTAACCGCAATCTGAGTGACGACTACGTAGATACTTTGGTACCTCCCAGAAGACATAGAAGCCACCAGCAGTGTCCTGTTCGCCTCAAAGTGGAGCCTAGGTCCAAAAGCTGAAGGAGCAAAACAAGTCGATGCGAATTGGCATGGAAGCTTAGCACGTGGCGCATGGACCATCACGGAGTTTTGAAACACCACGAGGCGGTGTATGCCTGCCCAAGGTGTGAACCATGGATCTCTGGCTGAGCGAATCCTTTTTCAGTATGGAGACTCGTGCTGATCTCAGGTGGCAGAATCACTCGAACAGCTCGATTTCATATTGGCATGACTGCGGAAGCCAGGCCTGAAGGCATGGTGGCCTCGGCCATTGAGTTCGGGGAGATCTGCCGCAAACACGACTTCCACAACTTTATCTTCAGCCCCAGCCTCCGCGCAACAAAGGCAACGTTCTTGCGGACTTGCCGCAGTCCTTGAGGCATGAAGTCTTCAAATCCGCAAGTTATGGCTGGGCCCTCTTTGATTTGAGAACAATATCCTGTATCTTGTTTCCATCGTCCTGTGTCGTTCCAGGTGAATGCGTACCGGCAGCTTGCACGCGAGATGTACAAGCTCGGCTGGGACTGTACAAGGGTGAACCGCGTCAAGCTGTCGCGTTGAGCTCCCGCTGCGCTGCTACTTCCAGTCATGAGCCTGTCAGGACTACCCCTTGCACCTGGGTGTCACTGAAGCTGGTGGTGGTTCTGACGGTGCTCATGTTCAAGTCGCGGCATTCTGACATCACACCACAAGACTGCGAGGTCGTATCAAGTCGGCAGTTGGCATTGGAGCCCTGCTTTTGGACGGCCTCGGAACGAGCCTCAATTCTGCATTCTTGGCTCTCCGACACGCAGCCGCGATTGTGGTTTATGTGCTCTGAGCCGTCTGGCGAGGTGACACCATTCGTGTGTCGCTGACAGAGGATCCGGAGTATGAGGCCAAGCCTTGCATTGCCCTGCGAGGCCAGTCCGTGCCCGTCACAAACTCCGGCTTTTCCGTAAGGGTTTGGCATGGCGAGTCGCGGTCTTTGCGCAGCGTCTGTCTTTCCCTCCGCATTTGGCCCATCGTGGTCCTGCCTCGAACCAGCCAGTTGTGTCCTGGTCGGGAGTGGAACTGCGGCAAGCGTCGTATTCGAGGGTAGCGAACTCGTCGACAACTCCCGCACGGACGGGTGCGCTCTCGCGTTGCAATTGCATCGATTCGATCGCCGCACATCCCGTTCGATTGGTCAAGAGGCGGCAAAGGCAGTCGCGCGATTGCATGGTCAAGGGGCGGCAAATCAAGGCAGTTGCGCGCCAGACGCCGAAAGTCCAAACATGCTTTAGTGATCATGTCATGCTTCGCACGGCAGCCGTGGATCCTGGCTCCCATAGAGTCACCATGAGACCAGCTTTTGCACGAGTCCTTAGCCGTGTTGAACCGCAGGCGTTGCAGAGGGGGCCGTTGGGAAGGCACCTGCCGCCCCCAATACCGTAGTTTGCTCTCGGGTGCTCAGACTCTAGGCTAGATTTTCGCGCCAGCTGCCCGCAAGGGTGTTGCGCCTTTCGAAGAGCACAGCCAGAGAAGGAGTGGTCAATTCTCTCGACGCAAGTGCCGTCCTGAAAGTTCCTTGCGTGAGTCGACGGTAGTTTCACTTACGTCGGCAGCAGCGTGTCCTTTGTCGCCCAGGTGCGAATATCCGATTGATGTCCCGCTCAACCAAGATGGATCCGTGCTTGCACGCATGTCAGTCCGCTACCCAGCAGAGCGCAGAGTAGACTCTCCAGGCTCGGACACCCTGTGACAAGGTGAAAGAACTGACTAGCCTGGATACTGCTGGACTTTGCGACCGGCTCGGGCTGCGGTTGCACCCTCAAGAGCCTTCAACCCTTTGGCATTTTTGTAAGTTGCACCTCGCACGCTGCCAAGACTTCGTGCTGATGGCGATGTGCAAAAGGATTGGAAGAGCGTGGATGCTGTGGTTCTCGCCTTGAGATCGCACATGGACCAAGGGCAGCGCGATGTCAGCAATATTTCCGAGGTGATTGAAGGTATGCTGCCCCCTGGCGCCGGAGTGAAGCTCAAAACCTTGCTGGACGTGCCGACAGGTCGGACACGTCTTGCCGCAACTCACTTCACCACGCCTTCATTGCTTAGCTCCGTCTGGTGGAAGGTGTTCTTTGCAAAGCAGGCCCCAACGTTCCCGAGGGTGCAGAAGCCTCAGCCAGATCTTAACAAGTGGCGATGTGCATTCGGGATACCCGTGCTGCTTGAATTACACAGCACCTGAGCGACACGTCCCAAGAGATCCTGGCAAAAGGCAACCGTGCTCATGACTGCAGATGCAGTGGCTGCAGGCACCCACGATGCTTGTAGTGAGCAGTTTTGTTCTGCAGAGAGACCACTGCACTTTCGCGTGCAGGCGACAAGCTGCTGGTGCCCAAGTTTCAAGCAGCTAGCACGTTCGCATCCGCTTGCCGGCTTTACCTGACTATGCGACTATGCTGCGTCAGCAAATGAGGGATGCAGTTAAGGCCAGAAAGACTGGGCGGCTATGCGGTTGTGTTTACCGGGGAGGAGTCTCAGGAACTTTGTGCCGGCTGGTTTCTCACCATGGCACTTGGATTACCGGAGCATCCACTCGTAGACTTTAATAGCTCTTCGAAGATGCAGTGCTCCACCCAGCAGCAGGGGAGGGTTGCCGACGGATAATGAGTCCATCTTCTCAAAAACACCACAATGGCCACCGTTCCTCCGTTGTCCGAGTCCCCTTCCCCCCGGGCAGTGCTGCGGGACTTCGAGAGGATGGGATGCGATGCGATGGGCAGTGCAGACCCTGTTCCGACAAGCTCATGCCTGAACGTTACCACGGATAGCTTAGACCGGCAGATGTGCAGAGTTTAACAGACCATTCCCGAATTGGCATGTATATTTCGAGGTGCTTCATAGAGCCAATCCCCCTGCTCGAACAAACCGTGCAAGCGGCAACGCCTTTCGGACAGAGCAAGAAAGAAGCAATGGATTTTTGCTGTCTTTTAGGTCTTAAGAGGAGTTGCGGTGGCAAGTACAATGACGCCCACGTGGAGCGGCGGCGGACGATGTGTATCGGGGACGGACATGCAGCGAAGGTGAAAAGGGTCCTTTGTGGAAAATGTGGCCTCCGGAGAGGGAGAGATTTTCGAGGTTTTAGGCATCCAGGCCGGTGAGCTGTTAGCTGCTCCGCTGATTACTGTCTCCATCATGGAATCATACACACATCACAACATGAACTCGCTCCAGTTCTCGATCACAGCTTGCAGTTTTTTGTTTTTTAATTTCTTCAAACACTGGGACAGGACGAGATGCAGGACGTGCTTGAAAAGGCATCGTTGGCATCCCAGCATGACGACAGCGATGCGCACAGAATTGCTGCATTTTTGCCGCATGAACTGGTAAGAATGCTAGCGCAAGGCCACGATTCATTCTGCTGAAGCCTGCGAACCGGCATGGCAGGATAAGCCAGTCACTCTCCCACAGATTTCATTCCCGCATGCATCCTCCCAGAGCTGTAAGCTGGCTTTGTTGCAGGACTTTCCTTGCAAGAAGGTGCTCTGCACTTTATCGAGATTTCCTGCGTAATGCTTCTTGCCATGAGCGACTGTCAGATTCTTTGCGCAGCTGGGGCAGCTGGAGGCTGGCAAATCCGCCCGTGTCTCATTCACGTCTGCAGGGAAGGGCTCGTGCAATTGCAAGCCGCCTTTCCCAGGTTCCCACCATGCTTTGGTTCCACTATGCCAAGGAACGGCCCGTGCATGTGTAGCTATGCCAGAATCCCCCATGGCCATGTCTGTTGTGCAGAGTGAAGCTGAACTGCAACTGAACACGTGTTGTCGAATCGAACAGGAAGACAACAAAGACCAAGATGATGTTGCCTTGACCTTGCTGTATTGAAAATTGTGTTGAGACTAGGATTTGATCTAGAACGTGAGAACAGCTGCTCGCAAGGTCGTTGAGGCATCGGCGGACTTCGGCAGTCTCTTTGTGGATGCTTGTCCTGCGAGCAGGGTGATTGTCATGGCTTGTTTCTGATGCTACGTTGCGCTCGTCGGACTTCTGTGGCTTTCAGGATGGAATGGGTGAAGGTCTGCTCTGGGATGCAGAAGCATCGGCCTTACGAGCACCACCGAGACTCTGCTCCCACCTGCAGCAGTCATGTCTGAGACAGGATCTCTCGTCTGATGAGCTGCGCGAATCGTCGTTTAACCTGCTCCAGGCAGAATCTTGACAGTCTTCGGATCGACACGATCGGACTTCGGCCTGCATATGCTTAGCACACTTGCTACATACAGGCTTCGCGAATGCGTATCTCCAAGACGGAGTTCATCAGCTGTCCGTCCTGTGGTCGAACTCTTTTTGATCTGTCTGGTGCTCAGAGCTGTCGCTCCGGTTCAGGCACGGATAAGGTTGGGACTTCTCCGTGTGGTTAAGGCAGGAAACCACGGCGAAGATTCAAGCACGAACCGGGCATCTCCCAGGCAGATTCTGGACCGAATTGCAGAGCCGTCGAAGGAGACAGCAGGAGTTTCTAGAAAGCACTTCTGACAAGCAGGTGTCCGAATTGCCGTCATGGGGTGCATAGTCAACGGGCACGAGTCCCAGAGTCGGTGTGGCTTGTTTTTTGTCGCCGAATTCCTGGCATTTTACTTTAAGGCCCGGGGAGATGGCAGATGCCGATTTCGGTTACGTGACATGGCTGCACGCCACAGCGTGGGGTCAAGGGATAAGTTTACGAGTGTGACTACTTCTGTGACACGGATGGTGTCCTTCCCAAACCCGGGCGAAAAGGCATACCTTGGTATAAGCATGTACTCACATAGCCACTTGAGATTCAGCCAGAGGCCGGCAAATGTTATGTATCCAGAGTGTGGGGACTCGGGATTGCAGCCTAAGCAGGAAAGCTCCATGAAGCTCAAGCCAGAGCCCGTAGCATCCTTGGTGTCGATGTCGTCAAAGGTTGGCAGTGGAGTTGGAAAGCTGGGCCCTCAGTCCAGCCAGTCCGGTGTATTTCGCACATGGAAACGCGCAGAGCAGGTAGAGCACAAGGAAGGCCGATCAGCGCAGTCTCTCAACGCGCCGTCAAGTGGAGTTCCTGTGAAGCGACTCAAGAATGACATCCGTTTTCTTTGATTTGCCCAGGGTTCGGCCTGTGGCCTTGTTGCCACCTATATATGTTCCTCTCCCTGTCCTGCGGGACGCGCTGTTTTGGTGATCCCGCCTTGGGCATGGAGGTTAGCTGGGATAGCATATGTGGGAGTCGGGCACCGGGAAACCCGACCATGGAGATTACGCCTTTCTGAAATTTTCCGATGTTGCATGTTGCATGCAGGGGCTCAGGTGGTCCAGGGTCGTTTAAGCGCATCTTGAAGCTCGGAGCATGGGCAAGTGCAAAGGATAATACTTTGGGAAGAGTTGAGAAGACACAACCAGGAACCGGCACGTCCGTAGTTGGTGGCAGCCACCTTTCAAGGGTTTGTTGGTTGACCAGCCGGTCTCCCCTAGCCCGAGTTGCTTGACCAGCTGGTCTCCCCCAGCGCGAGCGCCATGCATTGCATCGCAAGAAACAAGAGTTGGGCAGGCATGGAAGGCATCACTTCGGTGCAATGGGAAGAGGAACTCTGTGCTCGGCAAAGCCAGAAGCCGGATTGGAGGGGTCATGCCTGAATCAGATGTGGATAATGTACGTTCAGCTTCCTCGCCGTGATCCTTCGAAGGAGACCCACGACCTAGTCGTACGGACGACACACACGCACACACCTAAAGCTTCATGCAAGCTCCGCCAAGGACAGTCCCAGTGCTAGAGTAAAACGCTTGTGCGCGAAAGCTCGAGCCATTCGGCCATTTCCGTCTGAGGGGAGTCTTGAATAACCGCCACACAAGGGTCGACCTCTATGTCAACTACGACGTGGTGAAGCGAGCGATTCCCTCCGCCGAAGCCGTCGAGGCGGGTGGTGCCTTGAGTGACACCACTTTGGGCATCCACTCCTTCAGTGTACATGTGCGGTGAGGCATTGGTCGATCTGATCAAGGAGCACGTGACTGAGGGCCTGTGTTCTTTCCAAGCTGCAGGATGTGGGGCCATTCAGAAGTAATCGGTGCTCTAGCCAGTGAGCGTCTCCTGCTCCAGCGAATGTTTTCTGGACTCAGGCACGGGCGCTGGAGCGATCCAGCTGAAGCTGAGGATGTGGAAGCGGAGGTGGGCCGCTCTGCCGCAATGTCACCGCAGTTCCTTGGACGTTGCAGGTCGGAGCTGTTGCAGTCCTTTGAAGAGTGACCGGTGCTGCAAGGGTGCCAGCGTAGACCGTAGACTATATCGACAAAGTCAATGTAGTCAATCTCCAGATGCTGTTCGCGCGGGCAGTGTAATCGGATGCAGTAGCATTGTTTCTTCTGCTTCGCTTGTTCACTGTCTGGTGTTCTCGATTGATGCAACGTCCCGCGCCAACGAAGCTGAGCGTCATTCAAGCTAGATCACTTTTGGCTTAAGAGAACTGGCAAAAGTGCCAGGCCTGCTTTCTGGCCTCTCCGAGCTTTTGATTTTCTCATCTCCAGACGGGGGGCGATTCTCCACGATGTCGATCATCGAACAGAGTGAGAAGACTGCAAGCATTAACGACCGTGATTATTGGATCGAGCTGTCCCTCACTGTGGAGGGCTGGAGGTGCCTCCATGCCAGCAGAAACACGTTGTCAGAAGTGAAGCACTCTTTTTGTCTCTAGGCCTCAGTGCGTGCTGGAAGGCATGACGACAGCGTACTCCAGAGGAGCAGCAGGGTTGATTGAGGCAACTGTATAATCACAGTTCAATAAAACCCGTGATGTGGACATGTGAATGGTGCAAAAGTGCACAGATGTGAAATCAAGGTACCAAAGTGCGACGGCCTGTGGGCGTTGCTTTCGCTCGAGCTTTCTAAGCAGACGGGACGTTGCGCTTGAGAATCTTCCAAATGTCGCTATGCCGCAATTGCTGGCTCGACTTAGTTAATTTGACGCGGCATTTCCCCAAAGGTTGCCGGCTCAGTTGAACACCATGTTGGTCGTTGCACTGCCCCGGCACCTGACCCAGGAGCTCCGAGCCGTCTCAACTTGTCCGGGAGATGCCCCAACTCGTACCCAACGTTGCCAACATGAGTGATGCCCTTCACAGACAAATTAGTTTTGTTTCACGAGACGGCACGATCTTAAGTAATAAGTAATGGGCAAATGCCTGGCACCAAAGTCTCGTCTGGCCTTGCTCTCGCGCCTCTCCAAAACTAACGATTGCCAAGCGCAGCAGGAAAGTGGATGATTGTCCTTTCCCGCCTCGTCAAAACTAATGTAACTCATGATGAGCCGATGAATCGAGTGCGACAGTGCAAGGTGGGGCAAAGTGATGCCCGTGACTGCACTTCGAGCATGGCTCAGCAGGACCGTGATTCAGCCTTATGCAACAGGAAACTGTCAAAGGGAGGCCGACTCGAGACACCAACTGACTGCTCAGGAGGTGATCCGTAAAGAGCTTCCGCCTTAACTTCGGGCAGCTTTGTTATTGAACTCAGTTGCACCTACTGCGCTGCAGCCTCTCCAGGACCTTGGGTGTGCAGAAGAAGAAGGGGATCGAGTCGCGCTTCTTTGTTTTGTTCAAGGACGTCTGACGTCTTGCACTCGCCTTCGGGTTCGTTGCAGCCGGGAAGGACAGATTAGACTACTTCACCGCAGAGGCCGATGAACGGTCAGAGCCACGAGGTCGCTTGACCTTGAACGAGGTGGAGAAGCTGGAGGCCCGCTCCAAGGGCCTTCAAACAAAACAGGCGCTAGGCCCAGGTACAAACATGAAACGTTTCCGTTCCCTGATAAATCAAGCCCAACCTACTTCTGCATAGCTGTGGGGAAGAAGGTGTGAGGGCGATTTGCTGCTGCCGCTACCTTCCTTTATCTTGGAGTGTGAACTGCAGGTTCAGGAGGATGGCTTTTCTCTGATCTTGGTCGGAGGTGATGCTCCCAAGCCTGTGCATTGGTCCCTGACTCGGGGGACTCGGGGTGCACGCTTGAAGTCAGGTCAAAGCCTGACGCTGAAAACTCCAGAAGCATCATTGGAGCCATGGCTTTCGTCGCTGAAGCCCCTGTGCCCCTGGCAGTTTTTGGTGAGAGGTCAAGCTCCATCTGGAGATGAGTTTAAAGTTTGCTAGATCTTGATGGGTGCGAGACATCACAGGCTCAAGGCAAGCGACGGCAGCGACAAGGCTAAGGTGGGCTGTGTGATCTGGCAACGCATGCTTCGTTTAACAGTGTGAGCGGTGATGTAAGAAGGCAGATTCGTAGCTGTTCAGTACCACTCCTCGTGTTCGTGTCAGCTGCATGCCAGACTCGTGCTTGGCCCAAAACATGGCAAGTAGCTTGATTTGACCTTTGTCACGGCAAAAAGGCTTTCAAGCCGGGACCGTAGCCAGCTTTCCCAACCCAGCGAATGCTCCTCGCTTCAGAGATCCAGAGACGGCACTTGCAAAAAGGGCCCCCCATTTTGAAAGAAAAGGCGAGGCGCCGAGGCGTCGCCGAGGCGTCGCCGAGCCGCCATGGAGCATGCTGCCGGAAGAAGGCGAGGTCGACGAGGGCAAGCAGACGAAGATCGACGTGCAGAGAGAACACAGGCCAGCCTCTGCTCTGTGACACATGAATCGGATCTTCTCCCGTGCTGGGAGAATGGAGATGTTTTGAAGGTGTTTGGTTTGTCTGACTGTTTAACATGGGTGGTGGTATCATGTGATAGCGGCACTTCCGCCACGTACGACATTCAGCCGCTCGGGGAAGCGTGGATGATGAGACAAACCAATCCTAAAGTCTGAGCTAACCACGTAGTTTGTGAAACGGCGTAGTTGGATGTATTGACCGAAGCAGACACAGCCCGAAAGCATCATGCATGAAACAGACGTTATTTAATCTTAAACGCTTCGCGTCGTCCGCCTCGGCCTGGCTGTGGTGCATTGTTTCGGAAAGCAGCAACCTGAAAGCCTACCAAGGCCCATAGGCCCCCGAAACGAAAAACCCAAACCTTAAACCTCAAACCCGAAACCCTAAACCCTAAACCCGCAGCGTATAGGGAGAAAGCGCAGCCCCTGATGCAAGCGTGAAGCGCGCATGCCATGGCATGGGAGGGTCAGCAAGCAGTGGGAGAGGAGCAGGGTTCACCAACCGAAAGTTAACACTACGCGAGGGGGGTGGAACCGGGGGGAGGGCGGAGGGGGAGGGGGCGGTAGGGGGCGAGGTTCACACAGAGGAGGGGGGGGTGGGTCAATCAGCCAGCTTCAGGGGATTAAGAGGTGGGGAATAGAGAGAATTCGTACAGGAACCTCTGACCGCTTCGGCCGGAGCCGCGGCGAATCACGTGAACCATTGTCTCCCGGTAGTATTTCGTGCCCAGCTTCGAAAAATGGCACAGAGCTGTGCCCTTTACACATCAAGGCACAAATGGGGTGCATCTGCAGCAACGTTGTGAGGCTCCGTCTAGCCTTGACTTGGAATCACGGTGTAGACCTTCCAGAAACAGCCGTGGCAGCTCTTTCAGTTTCGACAAGTTGTGTCTCTCTGGTTGTCGCTCAACATCCATATTCAACTGATCACCCGCTCAGAAGCCACTCCTTCTCTCAGCCATCCACAGCCACCCACTTACCTACCCTCCCGTGGACACCGCCACACTATGGAAGTCAGATGGCCGAGGAAGTCAAGGATTCGCCTTTAGCGATCGAGAGATCGTACGGTTCAAGCGATCCTTGAGGCTAGTTTGCTGTACACGAAGGAGCCAAAGTTCTGAGAACGCAACCATGACCCAAGTCATTGGTGCGAGGGTGCTACAGATTGTTGAGAGGACACAAGCTCTTACTTACGGCACACGCTGCGTGCATAGGTGCAGCTGCCCCGTGTTGGTTTTTGCTGGTGCAGGATTTCATGTCTGCAATCCTTTCCACGTGACCACTGTAGCTTCGTTTGGATGGCAACATTTACAGGCGCCATGCCCTTGCCTCTACAGATACTGTACAGTTTATCCCTCTGTAGGCACAGGCATGCAGGCACATGCTCAAGCGAGTCTGTATCGCCCACCTGCCGCATGTACGATGCAGATAGGCATGTGATGGCATGTTGTTGCCCTGAGCAGGTTTTTCAAAAGACGAAGACGCTCAGAACATACATTTCCCAGATGTTGAGTTGCTGAAGTTGAAATCGCTTTTTGAAGACACTGCAGTCACGCTGTGACAATTGAACCAAGGATGTGCAAGTTTCACCTGATGGGCAGCTGTCAGCGCCTCGCCGGCATTGGACCACCAAGTATACATTGGACACCTTTGGTCGATGCTGCAAAATGGACGTCAGGAGAGGGGCTCAATGTCGGTTCGCACATGACCAAAGCGACCTTTCGGCAAACAGCGATGGATGTAGATCCGCTTCCATTCTTGTGCTGCCCGAATAAGGTGAGTTGCAAGGCCTGCCAGACCTTGCTCGCACGAAAATCTGCAAGCAAATGATCCAAACTGGACGCTGTGAGGACCGCATAGTGTCCAACTAATATCACCGTCGAGAAGATCAAATTTGGACCCAATGCCAGGACCCCACATGCACATATGCCCACAACAGGGAGGAGAGTCTTGGCTTTCATTTATCTTTGTCGGCCTGCACCATGTCACGTGATCTGCGCTTGCAGAAGACGTGCTAGTTGAACGTTTCCGATGCAGGGCCACAGGCTCTCACGCTATAGGTATCGGACAAAAATACCTGCCATCATGTCGATAGTTACTTGCGAGCCTAGGTTGAGGATCGTGCCGGGATTTTCTGCAGCCGACCAAAGAGAAAGGGCTATCCAACTCGAGCAGCTCGAGCTCCTCGAAATGGAGATCGAGAGGAGAACCCGATGTTTGACATCAAACATCACTTGTCTCTTTGTCTCCCTGTCGCTGTGGAAATGTGCGTCGTTCTCTGTCTGTCTGTGGCTCTCTGGCACTCTGTGCCTCCTGCCTTTGCCTGTTCTGCCTCTCTTCGTCTGTTGTACATATCTGTAGTTTCGCCATGTCATAGATATCGTTCCCTTCTTCTCTCCGCTCCTCTTTCTCTGTGCCGATGTTCTCATTGAAGCACGAGTTCCTGCTGATTCCTGCTAGCTGACAGTCTGACAGGGGGCGAGCTCAAGCCGGACGGGCGCAGCCTCCAGTGCGGTCACATGCAGACGAGCCCAAGGCATGCGTGACGTACTCGTTGTTGCTGACTTCGCATGTTGCCGTGGATCACGTCTTGAACGGACCGTCCTGTACTTGTCCAGTCCGTCCAAGCGAACTTCCAAATTTAGGTCTACATAGTTTTGACACGATCCGAAAAGCGCTTGAGCAGGCGAATGGACAGCAGAAGCTTGGGCAGAACCAACCACTGTATCAGGAGCTTGGCTTGAACTAGCTAGCTCAGCTGCGGCACGCACTGCAGCAATATCGTGCAATATCCTTGCGAAGCGCTTGCCAGTCCAACATGATGGCCTGCGGCACTCCCGTCTTCTTTGTTCCTTCACTTGCCGCTTGGACTGGCATGACTGGCAAAGGCTTGCAAGTGCGCAGTTCAAGCTGCCCGGTCTTTATCACAGCAACATAAAGCACCTCAGGTGACTACGGGTGATTATCCGACCATGTGCATACCCGGCTCGCCTACAGCCGTCACGGCTCCTCAAGCTCCTGACAAACCGTCTGTATCAGCCTTAGCATCATGTTTCTAGTAGCGATTCCGGGCAGGATAGGTTCTCATAGTTGCTGTCAATACACCAGTTTCCACGAAGGTGATGAAGGAGCCACCAGTGACTCAACAAGTGGTTCAGAGCTCAGAGACGACTTTCGATTTGCCCTGGTGCATCCTGGTGCATCCTGGCGCGACCCAGGCAGCGCAGGCGATGCAGCAGATGAACTCTGCCGCACAGGCACACGTGGCTCAGGCCGCCCTGTATGAGCCACACAAGTGTCTCTTGACGACTAGATTGACTAGATGCGCCTGCGAAGTGAGCGGCGGTTGGCTGATGGCTGTTCGCTCTATCAATGCTCACACGAAGCCTCGAAGGCGGGTAAAAGGCGTACCTCGGTCGCTGTGATCTTTGCCACCCTTGTGCGCTACACCTTCAGGTGTCTCGGAGGTACGCTCAACGCTCGCACGTCGGTCCAAACAAAAAGCAACGAACAGACGAAGGAGGAACGAAGAAAATGTGGTCTCCCATGCACCTCGTGCTTCCTGACAGGCCGTGGGGTAATGCTACGAAGCTTCCAAGCTAACAATTTGCAGGAGGATGCAGGACAAGGCTGAATGCAGCCAGCCAGGCACATGATGCGAGGAAGAATCAGTCAGCGCAGAGGTGTTTCCAGTGTTCCTATGCATGTAGGCGAGGGTTGCGCAGAGGCATTTGTGCCAGCCTCCCTGTGTGTCGGGTACGAGCCGGTAAGGGATGCATGCTTTGAGGGTTTAGGGCTTCGTCCCGTGTGAGGCGATCCGTTTGCAGGCGCAGGCCAAGGCGGGAGCCGGGAGCTGCAAAGAAGAGTTTAAACTCGTCTGCTTCGACTCTCAGCCTGGTAGGCTGTTGCTCAGTACATCCACAACCATTCTGGAGGCAATCACTTCTTTGTAGGCATGCGCCAGGATTCAAATAAAAAGAAGCCTCTGTAGTTGCAGGGTCCTTCCACATGCAGGACCTTCGAATGGCTACAGCAACTTCAACGACCTGACACCCACGGGTCCAATGTCACCAATATCATCAGAGGTGGGAGAAAGTCGTGGACATGTCTTCGTGATATTCACCTGTTGATGGAGGCACGACCTATGCCCGAGATTCCTGCTCCTGCAACGGAGCCAGCGAGCAAAGCTGTTGGCTCCCAGCGGGAGATTGGATCGGTTTCAGTTGGCGCAGTACCGCGAGGCAAGCGAGCTGCGAGCCCTTCCCTGTCTTCTGCCTGTGGTAGGGTCTGCCCGCGTCCTAAGGCCTCAGTGGTCACGCAGCTCTGCCGGAGGATGCCGAGGCCGAGGCTCAATGGCTGCACTCGTCTCACGACTGAACCTTAAAGCCGATTTTGAAGGACGAGCCTTTTCACCCAAGTGAGCCAGCGCAGATCAAGTGGCTCGATTGCAGATTTTGGGCCTGGGTACCTAGTGCTGTCGCAAGCGGTGAATGTCGCTTGTGCCAGGCTTGGGACGCTGCGCTCTCTCAGCTCCAACTCTTTGCCAGTCCAGGCCAAAACCACATGACCTTGCACCGAACAAGATACCTGCCGTGATGAAGAAGCCATCCATCAGACAAACGACAAACAGGTGGACGATGATGATGACATGGCCGATAGAGGCATGACTTCACACGACTACATTGCGACTACATCAACCTGGATCTCCAGGTATGCCAGGTATGTCATCGTCCATGGCGCAGGCGCTCAAGGCCTTGGCCTTATCTCTGCTGGCTTGACGACAGCTTCGGCGTTGCACTGTGTACCTTCTTGTTTAGTGGCCCTCAGCCCTCAGATTCAGGTTAAAAATACGTTCTACGACTTTGAGACCGACTGCACCCCTCTTGGGAACAGGCCTTGAGCTGGATCTTTGTGTGGATCATTGCACTTGGCCAGTGCATGCACCATTTTGAAACGAGGCTGCATGTGTTGCTTGATAGGCTGCGCCCGATTTGCTCCGCAGCTGGTCGCTTGGACGCCTTGGCTGCGGAAGAGGAGGAGCTTGCGAAAATGGAGATGCTGGAACAAAGCGAGCCAGAAGAAATAGATGCTCCGCGACCACTGTGGCGTTAGCCTTTGCATTCGTTAAGCATTCGTTTCAGGAGACTGCTCTTGGAGGCAGTTTAGCTCCCGGCAGCTTAGCCCCGAGCAGCTTGGCTCCCGTGTGAAGCTCAGCATTTTGGAGCCCATAGGCCAAAGGCTGCGAAGGCATCTGGGTCGACACAGTTCCCGAGCATGTGCGGTCTACATTCTTTGTTCCTTTGCGAAACGCTGGCAAACGGCGGCACTCTGATCAAGGTGGTGTACCGTTACATGGTGTCGAGAAGCTTTCGGTTGTTCTGGTATAGACATTAGCGACGCTGAGGGCCCGACATTGTCTTCAAATGCTGCTCCTGGTGGGTGCCAACCTTAGATTCCAGATCGCACTGTGAAGTGCGACCAGAGAGGCCGAGCGAGAGAGAGAGAGAGAGAGAGAGAGCTGCGGGAGTGCGTGCGCGCACGGGGGGAGCGGCCTGGACGCTGCCGCGACCCTCACACCCGGTAGAGAGAGAGAGAGAGAGAGCTGTCGGTTGTTTGTCACCGTACCGTAGCCGCACATGCCCAACATAGTCTCGAGCCAAAAGGCGGGCTTAACACTACGTCACTACGTATCTTAGCAGGGTTGGTTCCTGCAATGTACATACAGGCGCAGAGACAGCTCTCCCGGCACCAGCCCACTACAGCTTAGCCCATCTGCTCAAAAGAGTGTGGATGGGGCAGTTTGCAGAGAGGAGGGACTGCCCGCTCTTCAAGCCCCCGAGCAAAGCAAAGCAAAGAGAGGGACAGAGACAGGGAAATATGCAAGTCCATGCGCGTTCGCGTTCGAGGGCGACGGGACTGGGTGCCCGATATCTTCCGCAACAACATGCAGTGTGTGCTCTCATGTTAGATGCTGTCTCTTAGACTCTTGGATGTGATACTTCGCTAGTCCCTGCTTCACTGATGTAAGCCTAAGATCGAGATGGAGGCTCGTTTCCCTCGGCAACAAGCATCGCCACATATCGCCACCATCAGCTCAATGCGACCGACAAGTATCACCACCTACGGCATTGGAAAGCCACCCCACCAAGTGCCGGTGTAAAGATGCAAGGCCTCCAGCTCATAAGCAGGACAAGAAGGTAGTTGCAAAGAGACAGTGGTAGGGAGCACATGCCGGAGGTGCAGCGGCCATGGACGAAACAATTGTTCCGAAAACATTCGCACGCTGCTTGAAAGGAGCCGACCATCCGCCATCCGTCCGTGAAAAAGTAACGCTGCAGAGTTCACCGGAAGCGCAGAATTAGCAGGAATCCGGCGGGTCGGAATGGGAGGAGTGGAGAACAGAGCCAGTTAGAAAGCTACCCAATCCCAGCAAAATTGGACGCAAATCAGGATGCAATGACTCCACCAAATCCCACCAGCATAGTCCACGTCTTCTGACTCAAAGGGCTAAGCCAGGCTGGCACAGTGCCGAGTGCCGACTACGATGACCCTGGAGGGAGAGACTGTCTGAGAGATGTATTGAGAACTCAGAGGAAGAGAGGGATTTCATAGCCTGCGAGGTCAGACTTGGCGCACACAAGCGGCCTGACAGCTCCTGAGATTATGCGAGTACCTTCTAATCGATTCAGCCCATACTCTTCTGCCATGTGACATGTGCGTGAATGATATGCTGTGACAGGCCCGGTACAAATCCCTTACTGCGGAGGGCACACGAGCTTGCGTCAGGCGCGTCAACGCAACTGTGCTACAACGTGCTACGGCATGTCGCAGCAAGTACTGGCGGTGTTGAAACATGCGAGTTTCAAAAACTGAATATTTATGAATATTCGTAGGCTAGTCTTACTGTCGTAGCTACTTCTTGAATTGGGAAAATCGGAGGACAAATACCTCCTGCCAGTTCGGTTAGGGTGTGTTATGCTACTCTCGGCTTTGGTGCTCTACAATACATCTCGCCATCCCTTACTATGGTGCACTTTCCGTGTTTTGCTGGGTCTACTTCGGGGTGGTATGGTGCATGCGATTCGACTATCACGCTTCTGTGCCCTCCTGTACGCACCACTGTGTCGTGGAAGCTTATGACTAGTAAGTAACTTTGATTGAAGCAGCTGCAAAAACACAATTTTGTATTGCGGCCTTCCGTACGACGGTAGTGCTTGGTGATTTGCAATGTCGAATCTACAGTAATGCGAAATCAAGTTCAGCGTGTACTGTCACGCGTCGTAGCCTTAGCCTAAAAGCGAAACAGTGCACAAACTGCAGTCCAATGCACTGTATGTACTTGATGAGTAGTAAAACAACTGTAATGATATCCTTTTAGCATGGAAAACCATGCCGTGCCATGTCATGGGTAACACACTGTAGGGCTGAACTTATGTGCTGCAGCTTGACGAAGCCGAGCACGATGTCATGCTATGTCGTGCACGTATCGGGAACGTCATTGCGCAGTGCGATGCGTCGTTCGATATGATGCAAGGCTACGGCTACAGAAGGCAACGGATGGCAAAAGAGTGGAAGGTTTCAAAATGCTATGAAGTCGATGGTTCACTCCTCGCGTCTGAACCTTATTGGGGCCTCGCCTGTGCCTCATCCGTGCCCCTGTCCCGTTGGGCCATGCCTCGAACGTCACCTGAACCTACTCTCGGAGGCTTTATCTTCCCGACGGTTTGGGGACTGGTATCGAAAGCCCCAAATTTAATTCCCAAACCGGAAGGTGCAAGGAGGGCACCTTGTTGCCATGAGCCAGCCCGGAGACGCCACGAAAGCCCCCCCTATCCCAAACAGGATGCCCAGAACCCCAAACAACCAAACACCCGAAAACCGAAACCGAAAGCCGAAGACCATATTTAAGGAGTGACACAATTCCCCTAATCAACCCTAAACCGGAAGCCCGGCACTATACGTAGTTAAATCAGCAAAGTTGAATGCCCTAGGGAGTGAACCCAAAACTTGACCCGCAAGCAGGATGCCGAGACTCCCGCCCCAAAATGCAGAAACCATAAATCCGAAGCCAAAGCCGTTTTTCGTAAGGCATCGTCGCAAGCCGTCAGCCCCCGTCTAAGGCGTGAACTCAACCCTGAAGCCTACACCAGAAATTGCAAACTGAGGAGCGAATCACACCGAAAAATGTAGGCAGTGAATCCGAAGCCCGAGTGTGCGAGGAGTTCGGTGAAGTACTGACTGGACCAGAACGTATTACAAGGCAATAGCACATGACTGCCCCGGCGATGGCAGGGGCACGCAATTTAGAGTACGAGTCGACGAGGTAATGCACGACCTGGCCGAGAACACATGTCACGGTCACAATATGGCACCGAAGGAAGCGCAGTGCCGCAGAAAGTAAAGTTCAGTTAATGCCATGCGACGCAGTTTAATCCAGCGTCGTGCTACGTCATAGTACGGTGCAGTTCTGCACAACAGCTCAGGTTCACTCACGTACGACGATGCTCTTACGATCTCAATGGTGTAGATAAAAGTCCTGATGATGGCCATGTTGATGATGTTGATGATGTTGTTGTTGTCGTTGGTGAAGAAGATGATGATGATGACCAGAACAGAGTGCTGATGATGTTAACACTCGTGATGAAATGTGAGTATGGCTGTTGTTGCCAACATAAGTGCTGTTGCTGTCAGTGTTGTCTTGTTCTGTTGCCAGCTACTATTGCTGCTCCTACGGGGGTCAGGAGTCGTTAGCAACTAAGAATCCATGCAGCATTCCGCCGTGTTCTTGCTGCATGGCTTGTCATGTCATTCCATGGACTTGTTGCGATTAGTGTGAGCATGATTTGATGGCGAGATACGTTTGGAACTGGCGTCTACGTGAAGAACACGCTGCCAAGTTGCAAACTGCGTACACATGCAAGCTGTGGGTTCAAGTTCGTCTGACATTGGGCGTGATGTGGCCAGGGAGGAGCGATCCAAGACTGCCTTTTTAACATTTCGAATCGCATGCACCATGGATCCAGGGCAGCTGCGAAACGGTTGTGCTCCTGAGGTTCATCGACCTCGCCTGCGAGGACATGTCGCTGTCTCTACCAATGCCGAAACTCACATACAGCACTTGCAGAGTGCACCAGTAGGCTTAACATTGGAGGAAGAGCCGGTTGCATCGCTGCGGGCAGTGCATACGGCGGCCGGGCGTTTAGACATGATGTGGCGTGATGACGAGGACTGCGCAGTCTCTTGCACAGCTGTGACCCTTGATCATCCCTCGGCTGCAGGAGCGTGCAGACTGAAAGCCTGCTCGAGCACTCAGTCATGATGATCGCATGGCTGCTTCGAGAGCTCCAAAGAGTGTCTGGTTTGTTGTAGGCAGCTTCTCATCTTGTCGAAGCCAGAGGAAGTCAATACCAAGCAGGCCTTAGCAACGCGATTGCGACGGCTTCGATCGGTATGTGTGCTGCCTCAGTACGCAATCCGCGGCGAGCGGAGATCCTGTATGGAGAGTTGTTCTAAGTTCACACTCAGTGTAACGTAGACCACCACGTACTCTGATGACTCCTCATGCGTCACAGCACCCTGAGCTTGGCGGGCTTGTGACAGAAGCTGCCCCCGGCGTGCTCGGAGCACAAAGCCACCGGCCAACGACTGAGGGAACAACAGATAGATGTGGTTGGGTAGTGCCTGTTCAGTGTTTGTGTGGCCTGGTGCTCTGGAGATCGAAAGTCGATCTCTCAGTTTTTCAGCTGGGCTCAGTGGCGGAGTCGCATCCTTGCTTGCTCCGAGACAACAAGAGGTACCAGCATAGCGGCATAAGCAATTCAGCCAGTTTCGGAGCGTCAGCATCATGGGACGAGCGTCTATGGCCAACGCACGACCTCACCGACCCAAGTGGCATTTTGAAGACACGGTGTGGAATTCACTGATTGCCCAAAGTCCATGCGTTTTGCAGCTTGATGTCTCTGAAACACAGGCAGCTTGGAGCAATCCCTCGGACTTTGGGTTTGTCACTATCTGAGAGTGGAAGTGACGTTCGCACGTGGCATCGGCCATGGTATGCCTTCACAAGATAAGACGGCCGTTCCGGTCGCGCTGGCTGGGAAGGCAGACGCAGTATCACCAGAAACACGAGTCTAGGGTGTTCTCTTGCACATCAGTGAGGAGCCCTGATGCAGACAGTGAGGAGCCACGAACCTGTCTTGATACCGCAGGGATTTGTGACTCATCTTCCAGTGAATCCTACAGCTTCTCAACTCAGTCAGTCGCGCTTGGTTGCGTCGGCTTGCGCTGTCTGTTCGTTGTGTCGCGCGAGTTCAGCAAGATGCAAAATATTCGGGCTTGCTCTTTTGAACGTTGAGGTGGATTCTGACCCTCAGAGGAAGCTGTCCCATGTCTTGGAAGGTTCTATGCTCCGGGTACCTCAATGTTGAGCGCAAGGGCCAGGTGGCACCAGAGTTTTCTCACTTCTACAGCCTCGAACGCCCATGGCCGCCCTAGTTGAGGTCAAAACGCCATTTTTCGTTCTGCGAGAAAGCAGTTTTTCCCTCAATCTTCGTGTCGTGCGCGTGGTACGGTGTGCTTGCCCTTGTAACTGAGGCCTTGAACGCTATGACACGGCCACCGACTTCGAGAAGGGGCAGGACGTGAAGCCATTGTCGGCTTCGGGCAGATTTGGGAGGGATCTGTGCCATTCAGACGAGGAGGGAGAAACTCTGCAGACTAGTTGGTTCTGCACGACCCCTACTATGCTTCGACGACCCGCGAAGAACCGAGTTCGCAGTTTTGGTTCGCGCATTGTACTCGCATGGTCTAGCGGTCTTCTGAACCCCCTTCAATCTAAATGAAGAAGTTGTCTCATTGCCAGCCGGTGGTAGCAAATGGGGTTCATGCGTGTCCACGTTCTGCGAGCACAAGATTACCCGAGCGCCCAGCCGGTTCAATGCGTCTAGTTGCAGTATCTTCCGCCTTGTCCGCAGTATTGCGCAAAATCCATCACTGAAAATGGTCTCGTCTCCTCATTGACTTGTTTGCATGAAGTCTGCTTGTTCATAGTCTTGTATTCAGGTTTTCATTTCTAGTGCACTTGTGGGAGCCTTGCCGCGCAGCAACATGTGAGCGCAGCGAACTTGTTGCGTAGGACAAAACCACTGACTGCTACAGGGTCGGTGGCTAACTTCTCTTGCTCAAGCCTCCGACCGGAGGCATGAATCTTCTTTTACTCCTTTATCCTTTCCTTCTCCTCGCGAGCGGCCATGTTTCCTTCTGTGACTGCTATGGGTTCCATGAGTTCTCTTTCTGCACTTCGCACTCATTACCGAGTGCCACAAGCAGTTTGGGATGCCTTGGAGTCACAATTAGGCGACTTCGCCGACGAGATCCGCAACTTGGCGGCTATTCCGGCCAACATCTTTGCAAGATCTGTGGAATCAATGACATTGGCGGATGGCTCAGCTCCTTCAGTAGTTCAGGCCACTCAGGTGGGGCTTGTTTGGAGGTTGGCGAGGAGATGTATGTGGGTCGAGTCAGGCAAGAGCATCGACGATTGGGTGGATCCGGATCCTTGGGAGTCTCTTGCATCAACAACCCGTCAAGCTACCGCGACTCCATCTGCGGCGGTGGTGACGGACAGCGAGCGGAAGGTGAAAATGGCCACAATTCTCGACCAGTCGGACGACTCGGAACTGGTCGTGGACAAGAACAGTTCGAAGGACTTCCTCCAGGCTCTCGAAAGATACATCGCAACAATGGGAGCTCCTCCAACAGAAGAGTCCGAACCTTCTTTGGAACAATACCTTGCCTTGAAGCGCAGAACGAGCTCTGGCTTGCCTCCCTACGCAGAGTTCTCTGTGTTTGTCCCGTTTGCCCGCAAGGCTTTAAAGGCTTCCAAGTTCAGGTCGTTTGTCACCGTGGGCGAGGGGGAATACATGCTGAAAGAGCTTCCTGGACCTGCCTCTATTACCCAGTGGTCAGCTTGCTTCAAAGTCTATCGCACAGCACTGATTATGCTAAATGTGGTGAGTGTCGCTCGCTTGCAAGCATACGAAGAGTTCGTGGAGAGGATGGCGAGACGATACACGAACTGCTGGCATCTTGTCTACACGGCGGAAGACAGAGCACGCGCAGAGCTATTGGCAAGGGTAGCTCACAGGATTACGATGAGAGTGGCCGCCGGGGACTCACCTCCACCGGGTTGGACACAATCAAATCCTTGGGATGCCGTCTTCAAGGAGATCTTGGACAGTCAGGACTATTGGCAGGAACAACTACATCAACCCGCTCTGACTTGGCTGGCCAAGGGCGGCAGAGGCATCCCCAGCACTCCCCAAGAGGATTATGCGGCAGCGAACATCCCTGGTGGATTAGCCGCCATCACCCCTCCCCCGGAGGTGGTTGGTGGCGCAGACAGGGGCAACAGCACAAGGGCCATAGCACGAAAAAGGAAGCGTGCAAAGGACAAGGAGGATTTAAAGAAATATCGCGCTTCCGCTACAGGTTTCGTGCAAGGTGGTGGCAAAGGCAGCGGAAAGGGCACCGCAAGCGGGAATCAGGGCAGTCAGAAGTGTTATGGCTGGAACAATGGCAACGGGCCCTGCGCTGGTTTACCACCTGGAGCTCCTTGTCAGTCGAAGGTCAAGAGGGAGCACAATTGCACAATCTGTGGCTCGCCAGGGCATCCCTCAAAGGATTGCCCTCAGAAGAAGAAGTGAGTGTATTAGTATTGTTGTCTTTGTCGAGTGAGCTTCGCTTCATTCCGGTCATGGTTTACGCAGCCGGCGAGAAGAAGAGGAAGCGATCCTCAACCTCCAAGGGCTCCGCGCAAACTAAGAAAAGCAGAGGCGATGCTCCTCATGGTGACGAAGGTAAAGATGAGGAAAAGGGCCAGGAACAAGGACAAGGAGATGAACCAAGAGACAACATTGAGCATGGGAGTACACCATCATTCGAGCAGTACAAGGAAACGAGGGTTTTCAGGTACCTTCATCATTTCGCGGGTCCACGGGACCCTTTGGGCATGGCCATTCGAGTCAAGGCCAAATCACGTGGACTGAATGTCAATGTGACTTCATGTGATTTGGCTACGGGTTGTGACCTGGCTCTCGAACAGCCTTTTTGTGATCATCTAGCTCAAGCGAGACAGGGTGGTTGGGATGGATTCCATGCAGGTTTCCGTGCGCTACGTTTTCGAAAGCTAGATGGAGAGAGGTACAAGGTGGTCCAGCACCCGTCCGATCCAAAGAGTTTCCGTACGGCATACCAAGCCAATCACCTCGTAGGCAAGCCGAGGCGGACCAAGGTACCATCTTGGCAGCTCGAAGCGTGCTCATTGCAGAGGCCGTGCTCAACGCCAACAACAAGTCAGGGATTAAGCCGCCGGTAACATTAGAAAATCCTCCACCTTCGGCGCACCCTCAACATTTGTCAGCGTGGGAACTCCCAGAGGTCAAAACCTTGGCAGATGAAGGACTTCTCAAAGGAGATTTGGACTGGGCAGCTTTCCCTACGTGCGCATTCCAACCAGAACTCGAGGAGGGGAACAAAATCTTCAAACCTCAGCGGTTCTTGGGCTCCTTACGTGATTTGAGCTCGATGTCAGCAGCATGTTCGTGTACCTGCGGTAACCACAAAGGAGTGACCATCACCAACTCCAAAGATACTGCCGAGTACCCGCCGGCTTTATGTGACAAGTTTTCGAACCTCATTGTGGAGCACTTGGAGAAAATGGCTACTTTGGAGTGGTTGAAATTGAAAGAGAATTACCTTTCTAAGGCGATCGCGGAGTTAACTATGACACCACAGGGCACCAAAGATCCGAAATCACAGAAAGCGAAGGCCAAGTTTGACATCCAATTGAAGGTTGATGATATGGCTCCGGTTTCAGAACAACTCGCCCACAGCTTTCAGGCCGTGGAGGGCACGAAGGTTCGAGCGCCGAGCGCATACAAAAGCTCAGAAGCCAAACCTAGTCACTCAAACCCAAGATCAGGCCCCCCGTACAAGAACATTGTTATGATCAATCGTCCTTCCTCGGCAGCACCTTCCACTGCATCAAACAATGAGGACCCCTCCGCTGAGTGGAAACCAGGCGCGGGGAACTACGGAAAGGTGGAGTCTCCTGCCAAGCATGTGAATGAGGAGAAGCCACACCTTGGAGGCATGCGCAATCCTGCATTGGCGGTTCTGGGACTTCCTTCGGCTAGGGCATTGGGGGTGAGAATGATTGCGGCGTGGGAATCCTTTGTGACGAGGAACCCACAAGCACTGCATCTCGCAGAGCGCTATGGCACGAAGGACGCAACGGAAGACGTGCGCATCACAAAAGAGTGGAGGTCTTGCCTCCGAAAGGTCACGGGCTCGAAGGGTCTCGATGCAGTCAGACTCAAGGATGCTCACACATTCACCTCGCCATTGCATGCAGACTTGTTTGAAGCTTATTGTAGGTCGGCAGGTGATCCAGAATCCGAAGTCCATCATTGGATCGCTGACGGCACCCCGCTCGGCATGGCCAGAGAAATCAAACCTTGCGGGATTTTCCCACCAGCGGAAGCTGAGGAACCCCAAGAGGAGTTAATCACAGCCGCGGAGGTTTTGGACGGGAACCCCCTTCGCAATTACCTTTCTGTGGTGATGAATGAGGGTGAAGCTGACATCGAGCTACATCGGTATGAACGTGAGGGCTACTTGCGTAGAATCAGTGTGTCGGAGGCCAAGCGGCGGTACGGCGCAGGAACGATTTCAAAGCTCGGTTTGATTCTCAAGACCAAGCAGGATGGAAGTCTGAAAAGAAGGATTGATCGACTTGAAACGCAGCACTGGCAACAAGAAAGCTAAGCTTCGCGAAAGACTCACCCTTCCAAGGCCCAGAGACGTGATCAAGATGGTGAAGTTTCAGCACAAGAAGAAAAGTAGCTTGAAAACCAAATATAAACGGCATTGTTGGGACACAGAGGACTGGGCTAAGGAGTGGGTGATCATTGATGTGCACGATGCGTTCATGCATCTAGCAGTGCACCCCGACGAGATCAAGCATTGTATGGCCCCATCTCCGCAGGAAGGGGAGATCATCTTGTTCATTGCCGTCCTGTTTGGCTTCAAGACGGCTCCGCTTGTGTGGGCTCGATTGGCAGCGTTAACTTCGAGGATCCTCCAGTGCGCACTGGACCCCGTCGAGGCAGCGCACCAGACTTACTTGGACGACGCGCTATGGGCCTTGCAGGGAAGTCTGCGCCGACGGAATGTCATTCTTGCGTTCATCCTTTACACCTTGAGGGCCTTGGGCTTCATTGTCTCGCTGGCGAAGGGCGCGAGGGGTCGTGAAGTCACTTGGTGCGGAGTAGTATTCACACACACCCAGTGCGATCACATCCTGCTGGGAGTGTCGGAGAAGTTTCTGAAAGATCTTGCTAGCTTGCTTCAGGGCTGGAGTAGTGGCATGGCCCCGATCAAAGAGCTGCGTCGCGCAGCGGGAAAAGCTGCATGGCTCTCCGGCATCTTCCCACGCACTCGGTGGGCAACCCGCATGCTCTACGCAGCCCTTCATTCCAGATTAGCCGAGGTCGCATCCGGCACAGAAGAACGTCGTCGACAAGCTCGAAAAGACAACAGGGGCAAAGAGGCTATGTTTTATGTCAGTCGGCTCAAC